GGAGCAAAGCACCAGTGCGCCAAGGTGTGAATGGGCCCTCGGTCTCTTTGCTACAGAGAGTCTTAACCTCATATTGACAGATTGCTCATTTGCAGCAGACTGAGATCGATACGACCCTAATGCGATAAATGTCAACAGGCAGTTAAGGCGGAGACGTAGTGCGGAGACGTGGAGCGGCGGCAGCTCATGCCGTAATGCACACACAGCATGCGCAAGCCTACTTATGACGGACTTCCCTATAGTCAATGCTCTTCCAGCGCTGACAGGTCCACACGCTCCACCGCCGCCATCTTTATGACTTCCACAGCATCCTACATTGTATTCTATTGGCCATTGGCATATATGGCAGTGCATAGCCATGAAGGTCAATCTGCTCATTTCTAGTTCGGTTTCTAGGTTGCCGGTCTGCTCATTGGAAAGAACTGATGATGTCAAACTTAATGTCCAATGGGCAGACCTAAAGCTAACTCGGGTCTCCCGCACCAGCCCCCCACCAAGGACCACCCCCAACTCCTTGAGCCACTCTGCATGTATTTAATGCCGTTGATAAAGAACGCCTGCACATGTGTTCCAGAGCAATGTTATTCCAGCAACCGGCACCATTGTCGGTGTCTTACCCATGCCGATGGTAGACCGCGTGGTCATTGTACTGTGCATGTGCTGTGAGTAATGCAACCAAAAGAATAAAAGACATGCAAAGTCTCTTCTGCCCTCTGAATTGGACCGTGCAGATCACGTCACTGGTCAGAAGTAATCTGGAACAGGCGAGCATATAAAAAAAACCTAACATACATGCAGGGGGGCCACAAGGAGTTGGAAGGTCATTGGTGGGCGCTGGTACGGGAGCCTGAAGTTAGTTTTAAGCCTTCCCATTGGACACCAAATCGCCATCATTACTTTTATCCAATGAGCAGACTGGGAACCTAGAAGGCTGTAAAAACAAACTAGGAATTAGCAGATTGACCCTCCTGGCTATGTACTGTGGCAGGGGTGTGCAAATCACAAGACTGGCTTTGCAGAATTATAAATCCTGTGTAATATAGAACAGTGCATGCCGGGAGTTTATTCTTCTATCCATTTGTATGTGATTACCTACAAACAGCCCGATAGAAATGTATAAACTTTAGACCGTACTTAATTCGCAGAGACCGCCTTGAACCAGACCATCGGTCCTAGGTCATCAGATGTATGCTTGAATAGGACACAGCGCTCATTCTAAGGCCTTGTTCACATGGGCGTGCACATCCATGTGGCGTGCATGCACGTGCAGAGACTTGCTCCCGGTAAGTGCATGCACTATGAGTAATTACGTGCTGCCGCCTGTACTTCCTGGGTGCCTGCACTTGGACTTAGACAGAGTAGGCTAATGCAGGGGTAGGCGACGTCGGCACTCCAGCTGTTGTGGAACTACAGGTCCCATGATGCATTGCGAGACTCTGACAGACACAGGCATGACTCCCAGACGCAGAGGCATGATGGGATTTGTAATTTAATCACAGCTGGAGTGCCAAGGTTTCCTACGGCTGGTCATTAACACACACACATAAAGTGTGTGTGTGTTAATGACTCAACAGAAGGCAAGATCTAACGTTCCTGAAAAATAAACTTTCCAGCTTGGACCGATTCTTCATTTGCCTAAAGCTCACCACACACCTTACAATATAACTGTACAATCTCCTTTAGATCTACCAGAAACTACGTAGTGCAAGGGCCCGTCTGACTGGATACAAATTGATTGGATAGTTTAGGGCAGAGCTGTGGAAGGGACCTAGCAAACCCCACCCATTACAACTGCCTGCAGAAAACTGCAGGAGGAGGCGGAGACAAGACCAGTCACCGTGCACAAGAAGAGAGAGCAGCAGTGAGCAGCCTTTATTAGAGGAGGGGGCGGAGACAAGACCAGTCACCCTGCACAAGAAGAGAGAGCATAAGTGATTGGTCTTTATTACAGGAAGCTCCAAGTATCAGACTAGCTTACTGCACAGATCTGAAAGAAATACGCTGCAACCAAGTTAAAGTGCATGTCCAGCCAAAACCTTTGTTTTTCACTTTGGGGAGAGGACAAGGCTACGACCCCTGATTGTTCCCTATTGCACATTTTGCCTCACTTCCTGTCTGGTGACACCATTGATATAAAGAGGGAAAGTAAAGGCAAATACCTTCAATGGAGCTTTCAAAGGACCTTTCCTAGGTGCAACATGGAGGGTTCCTGTCATTCTGAAAATGCTAGTTGCCTGGCTGTCAAGCTGATCCCATGTGCCCAACACTTTAAATCACTGACCTGGGCTAAGCATTCAGATAAGGACGTCTGACTTTCCTCTGACCCGCATACCTGTTCCGAGTCAGTGATTTAGAAAGTGAAGCCAGAGCTTCTGCACTACACCCAGGCAACTGGCAACGTCAAAAGGATATCAGTGATGGCAGTTCCCATATTTCCTCTTAGGAAAGTTTTACCAACCTGTTCATGCCAGTGGCACACGTTACGGTCCATATTAGGGACACTCTCAGGTTTGGACTGAACCCGGCCCGAACCTGAGCCCCTCTGAACCCAGAAGAAAGCCCCTCCAAGCCACCCCATCAGCTGCTAGTAGGGAATTCCCCACTCCCAGCTTGACATATGGGGCGGAATGCAGTGACATAATTGACCTTATATGGCTACATGCCCATATTTGGTAAATAACATTGACCTAATATGGTTATGTGGCCATATAAGGTCAATGACATCAGCGCAAGCATCCTGTGGCTTTTTTACATGTTGCTGGGTAGGAATGCCCGGCCCGCAGCTGCTTTCATGGGAGCGCCCATGACACTGCCTGGTTCGGAGGAGCTCAGGTTCGGACCGGGTTCATTCAGAACCCTGAGCTCATCCCTAGTCCATATGGTGTGTGCGCTGGTGTCTGTTGTATAAAGCGGTGTGGTGTTTGTTGAATAGGGCGGTGTGGGTTGTATAGGGCAGTGTGGTGTCTGTTGTGTAGGTCGGTGTGGGTTGTATAGGGCAGTGCGGTGTTTGTTGTATAGGGCGGTGTGGTGTCTGTTGCATAGTGCGATGTGGGTTGTATAGGGCGGTGTGGTGTCTGTTGTATAGGGTGGTGCAGTGTCTGTTGTATATGGCGGTGTGGTGTCTGTTGTATAGGGTGGTGTGGTGTCTGTTGTATAGGGCGGTGCAGTGTCTGTGGTATAGGGCGGTGTGGTGTCTGTTGTATAGGGTGGTGTCTGTTTTATAGGGCGATGTGGTATCTGTTGTACAGGGCGGTGTGGTGTCTGTTGCATAGTGCGATGTGGGTTGTATAGGGCGGTGTGGTGTCTATTGTATAGGGCGGTGTGGTGTCTGTTGTATAGGGCGATGTGGTGCATTGTTATAACGCATCGCGGTGTTTCCTTTCATTCCTTTTTATAACTTTATTGAACTGTCACAGATTGACACTTTATCTCTATTCACAACAGCACGTTGCGGTTTGATGCTGCATGCTGACATGCAATTTTGCGCTTGCACTGTGTAGAAATGCATTTTTACGCAACACACGCCAACGCACATGTAAGATGTGACCAGGGCACATAGAGAGCGAATGTGCCCTTGCACTGAACCTGTGTTGATCAATGCTGATCAATGCACCTGGTGTGAATGAGCCCTAAAGCAGGCCCTGGTCCCTGTTCACTGTAGGACAGGCTCCTGAAGTGACCACTGTGACAGCCAATCACAGTGATCAGGAGGCTCTGGCGGTAAGATCCACTTAAAGGGCCAGCTCCCGCCAGCAGAAGGTGCTTAAAGTACACCTGTCATTAAAGAAATATAGAACATGCTACACTGCTGACCTTGCTCTGTGCTTGCTAGTTACCTGGCTGGCTTCAGTACTGCTCAGTCACACACCCAGAACAAGCATGTACTAAATGAGAGTCACAGAAAGGTGAGAAATCACTATTATATATTATTATATGACAGGGGTGGACAAATTATGGAATTCAGGAGCCAGTCTGTCCAATCCAAGAGCCAGCAGGATTATTTTGCAGCTTCATTGACAACAACTAGGTAAAACCTCAAAAAGTTAGACCCCAGCTATAATTGTTAAGTATCATTGGCGATCTGGGTTATGTCCACTCCTGGTATATTATAATCTTTATAGTACTGAACCCAAAATACAAGGCAGCCAAGCAAACAGCATGTTTTAGAAGCAGAGGTCAGTAATGGAAGCCTACATATTACTCTCTTGACAGGTTCCCTTTAAGATGAAAGCAAACGTATCAAAGGTTGGATTACAATATGGATGGTGTTTCTGGGTTGAGTTTTATCTGCACCGATGCTGATCTCATTAGTCATTAGCAAAACTGTCCCGCTGAACTTAGGATGTGCTGAGCACTTCTTCTCAGTTTTAGGCCCCTTGGCTTGTAACCCAGGTGCTAGTGAGTCCTAACTCAATGCTAGGATTCTGAAGTTTTGGGCTTTAAATGTTCAGTTTTCAGAATTTTGATGTATTTCCGGGTCACTGTACGAAAACTGCTTAGCTGTACTTGCACGGTATGAGCGATTTGTCTGAGCCTAAGCACATTGCCAGCGATAAGAGTATTATATAACCAGCATCTGCCATGCGTACCGTATTTCTGTGCAGGGCGCACAGACTATGCTAATGGCTCTGGTTCCATTATCTATGTTAGCTCTAAGAAGTGCAGGGCCAGCTTGGCTTCTGGATCTCAGATGTGACATCCAAACTGTGTTGATAAATGGGTTGAGCTGTCTCGGCAATAGGAGCGTGATGGGTAGCTGCAGATTCCAATGGGGTAAAAAAAATTGTAGATTGTTGTGTGCGTGTGTAGATTGGGGCAATGTACGCTACTGCTATCGGGGGTTCTGGTGTCCCTAGAAAATACTCAGTTGAGCCTACTGTCGAATGACTTGGCCTGACAATCCCCTTTGTACCCTGCCTATTCTTCAATGCCATGTCTGTCCCATCACTACCAGTCCCCTCCTCTATCCATCCATCTCCCTCCCCTCTCTCCTCCCTTACCTGAGAGCGTCTTTTGATCCAACTCTTCTTCATCTCTGGGAATAGGGGGGACAAGAGAAGAAGGGGACCCCCGGACCAAGCTTTGCTATACTTCCTTGGCTCCTGATGCAGCCGAGAGCAAGCCAGAGCTGAGCATCTAAGATTGTCCAATGGTAGAGACAAAGGGATGTAGTTGACACAAGGTGGATGTGGGGATCCTGGCAGCCCAGCCGATGGATGCCAAATCTCAGTAGCCACTAATTGTGTTGCTGCCGCTCCCAAAGCAGGAGCCAAGTCAGGAATACAATGGTTTGAGAGCCAGGGGGAGGGATGGGGGATGGAGAGAGAAGGGGAGGGTGCAGACATGGGAGCGAGCAAGGGAGGAGAGACTGAAAGAAGTGGATGGCTCAGAACAGGTTTGCAATGCTTTTCGCTGGACCACTGACAAGCATCTATGTGAGATTGTCAAAACTGCATTTTCCTGGACCACTGAGAAGCTTTTGTGTACAGGTTATGTAAATAAAAGCTGGATATATGGCTTGATATACGTCCAATGCCTGCACGCCCAAGGGGTCTATCTTCTCTCTAATGTTTGATTCAAATAAATACTGTACACACCTTTGTCATAATGTATATATATTCTTATCAATGGGCATTGATGTTTTTTTCTATGCATAGTCGGTAATGAAATACACAATATGGCCAAAAGTTTGTGGACACCTGACCATGACACCTACTACATGACCCATGTGTAGAGAGCCCTTAAAATGATTGAGTTCAGATGTTTCCAGTGAAGAGTACTAATAATGCTATAACATACAAAGACATCTTGTGCTCTTCCAGCCTTGTGATAACACTTTGGTGAATATCCTTTTCTGTTCCAGCATGACTGTGCCCCTGTACAAAAAGCCAGCTCCATAAAGACATGGTTTGATGAGTTTGGTGTGGAGGAACGTGAGTGTCCTTAACCCTACTGAACACCTTTGGGTAAACTGGGACACCGATTGCAAGCCAGGTCTTCTCGGCCTTCCATTTTTAGAGTTCAGGTGTTTCCAGCAAAGAGTGCTGTTAAAAATACAGAACACAAAGACATTTTAGACAATTGTGCTCTTCCAACCTTGTGGGAACAGTTTGGTGAAGACTCTTTTCTGTTCCAGCATGACTGTGCCCCTGTGTACAAAGCCAACTCCATAAAGAAATGGTTTGATGAGTTTGGTGTGGAGGAACTCAAGCAGCTTACACATAGCCCTGGCCTCAACCCAAATGAACACTTTTGGGATGAAATGGACGAGGAGACCTGGCTCACAGTCATGTTCCAACAACAGCACCTGACCTTTGGCTGAATGGGCTCGAATTCCCACAGACACACTACAAGTGGAATAGGAAAGTCTATCCAGAATTGTGGAGGATGTTATAGCTGCAAAAAGTGCTATTCATGGTCATGCTATTGGAATGGGATGTTTCCCAAGCTCACATACGTGTAATGGTCTTCTCATCCAACTTGCGTACCTAACCTCACAAATGCTCTATGGACTGAATGGGCACAAATTCCCACAGACACACTCCAAAATCTTGTGGGAAAACCTTCCCAGAAGAGTGGAGGCTGTTATAGCTTCGGGGGGAGCAACTCAATATTAATTCCCATGGTTTTGGAATGGGATGTCCAACAAGCTAACATAGATGTGATGGTGAGGTTTACACAAACTATTGGCCATATAGTACATGTACATGGAGCAGCCATTGTCGTTCATTACATTTGAATGCTTGGTTCTGTACTGTTCCCTTCTGTTAATACTCAGTTTAAGGGTTTGTTCTCATAAGCCCTGATGAGCCAACAATGCCCAACGAAGTCCAAGAGGGCTGGTAAAAACAAGCCTAGATGCAAAGACTAGACAATGAGCCCAATGTCTGGCACTGCACTGGGGTATGCTGAAATAAAAATAGGACATGATGCGTTCTTACACAGCACATTCTGGCCCACTGTAACAGATCGCACGTAGCGTTAAATAGTTTTAAAAAAAGGAAAAAAGCCCATGCGTGTTTTGCGCATAACATGCTGTGTGCGGTGTGAACGAGCCCCAATACTTTACAATGTTACATGATCAATGGGAGCCCTGGATGTCCCCATCCTGTGATCAGTCTCTCTCTGAGAGAAGCTAGGTACGGCTAGAATGGACATTAATGCGGCCATCTCGCATGTATGGAAACCTAATGCTTTGGCTGCTGTTGCTCCATTTTGCTAATCGCTGTGTTTGAATGTTTTACCCTCCATCAATTCTGCTCTTCCTCCCAAGTATTCCCCAGAGCTCCATCTTCCCTCTCTTCTTTTGGTTGTGAGAATCAGTCATCTCATACTGTTCCTGGAAACTCATTCCCGCATACAGTTACATATCTTCTTATTACATAGCTTTTTCTATAGGCCGCAGGTAGGAAAAAGGGTTTTGATTGCGAATGGGCCCTAGTTCCTGGGGTCCCTGGGTCCGCTGCTGTCGCAGAGTAGAACTTACAGTTAAAGTAATATTAAAGTCAAAAGGTTTTTAATGCAGATGAAATCGCTTACAATGGATGCCGCTTCTTGATGTTTAAATGTCAGGAGTTTTTAGTTCCCACAATTTCAGTGAAATCAGGAGTTTTCAGCAACATTTGTACCATTTTGGAGAAATCCATCTGAGT